TCAAGATGGGAAAAGTAAGGGGGTTTCTAAGGAGTATCCCAAAATCCTAAATCCGGTGATATCTTCAACAAGACAACTTCTAGTAAATTAGCAACTTGTTTCAACTAGCTCAGATGTTTCCATGTCATAGCACTGGCAGCTGTGGACATACTCTTTTCCCCACCATTACTGTATCGCAGAGGAAAGCTCTGCTATAACTTCACTCCTTGTAAAGATCTGTTCAGCATGTTTACAGCCACTTTGGACGCGTTCCTTTGGCTAGCAAATCAGAGCTATAACTGCACAGCACGTACTCTGGGAGAATTTCACTTTTAAATGAGGATTGATGATGTACGAGGTCCCTCAACAGTGCTTTGCCCAGAGGATGTTTTGTAGAGAGCTGGATGAAGATGGAAGAGCTCATTCCTCAACTACCAACACCAGCTGCAGTAAAGGAAATCTCACTCCTCTCAAACCGAAAAGCTGGATGAAACTTTCAAGGTGAAAAAGCAATTGATACTAAGCTATTTAAAAACGAATTTATTTCCCTTTGTCTTTAAGATGGAAAGCCTGTGGAGGTGGATCCCCATCACATTATAATAGAAGATCCTGATGGTTCCTGCACATTGATCTTGGACAACCTAACAGGTGTTGACTCAGGACAGTACATGTGCTTTGCTTCCAGTCCTGCTGGTAATGCCAGTACCTTAGGAAAGATCCTTGTTCAAGGTAAAGTCCTGCACAGATGCATTGTTTTAAAGGGTTCTCCTATATAATACCTTAAACACGAATATTAAGACATTCTATAAGTTCTGTATAAGACCTGGATAACACTGGATAATACTTAAAAAACTATTTGTTGTGCAGGTGTAGTCAATTGTTCTTACATCAAAAAACTTGGTCTTTACTGTTCTGTGTGCAGACATTATGAGAATTATCTGGTCAGGGACACATCCTTGATATCTGGTCGTATTTCCAGCTACCAGCTACATTTATCCTTGTTTTGCAGTGCCACCACGGTTTGTGAACAAGGTTAGAAATGCTTACCTTGTTGAAGGTGAAGATGCTCAGTTTACCTGTACTATCGAAGGAGCACCTAGGCCTCAAATCAGGTCAGTTCTTCAAGTCACACTGCAATAATTCCTGTTTTCCCATTTTGCATGGTCAGAGGAGTCTCCTGCCCTTTCTTTCAAGGCGATGACCCTTTCTTCTCTGTGTCTTCCACCTTAACCCAATCCTATTGCTAGCTTTTCCCAATCCCAACATGCCTGAAATTCTCAGCAATTTATTCTAGGTAACATCTGAAAAGAAATACCTACAGGTAATCCCTGACACAGGTCTGTATCAGACCTAATGCCCTGACAACATTTTATCATTTCTTTATCCTCCCTGCCTGATTTTATCAGCAACCAGTCTGGGTTATTCAGACAAAAATCTTAGCGTATCTTCTCATTATTTGAAGACCTTTTCCATGTATTGACTGACGAGATTTCTTGAGAAGAATCTCATAAACCTGTGCAGTTTAGTATCCATGTGTGATCTACCTACCTGTAGACCTATCTTCTAGGATCCAGACGTTTGCCTAATGATTAACTCTTGAGTTGTTTGCCCTGTTTGCCCGCTGGTCTGACAGATGGATCAGTGAGCTGGGAACTTCTTGACTCTGCATATTTTTCCCTGCCTTATACTCAGTGCCTTCTCATGCAGATGGTACAAAGACGGTGTACTGTTGAAGGACACAAGTAAATATCAGACTTTCAGTGAACCACGGAGTGGCATAATAGTGCTGGTGGTCAAGAACCTTTCCAATGAAGATATGGGACACTATGAATGTGAGGTAAGTTCAGAGAGATTTAAAGATCTCACATGACATAGGTAGGAGAATTCATTTTACTGGGAGAGCGCTGATGCATGAGATTAGTGGCTGAGTAATTGTTGCCACCTGCTGTATAAAAAGAGTTTATACAAAGTCAGGGTCTCCTGAACTAGATCTGGATTATGAACACCAACAAGCTTCAGAATATTCTGATCTGAGAGTTTGATGGTTCAAATAATAATTGAGTGAGCTTGTTCTGTAGCTTAAGTTCAGATCCGTATCTCTAGAGGTACTTCTTAGAAAGTTTAGGACCATTCTGACATGCCATTTTGTTTCTGAACCATCTAAATTCAAATAGGTTCATGCTGCTACAAAGAAACCATTCAAAGCCAAAAGAAAGAAATTAAATCTAAATGGAAGTCTAAACCACTGAAGTTCCTGTTTATTTAGCAAGTGTACATGGAAGTATCTAAAAAATTAAAATAAATGTGATGTAAAATATATTCTAAAAATTAGTCATAGTCTATGTATTCATTGTAATAAAATAGTAATAAACTCTCAGGGCTCAGCAATAAAAACAGTTGACCTTGATTTAGGAAATTAGCATGGATCAGCCCACTCATGGTAAACAGCTCAGCTCACAGCAACTTCACAGCTATTCCACCAAATTTTTCAGGCAGTTTGATATATTTTAAAGACTTCTACCAGAATTTTAGCAAAATCACGCTACCTTGCACTTGCCATTAGCTAAGATCCCAAGGTCCAGTATTCCCTTGGCTGAGTAAGACTTGGTAGATTAAAGGATGACAAACAAACAAACAAACAAAACCC